AAGCTAGTTCTTTTTTAGTGAAACAGCAACATACAGCATGACTAGTGTACTGTAGTATGACTCGCAAACAAATGACTCTTACGAGCCGGTTATTTTTAGAGAATCATAAACATACAGCATGGCCAGTGTAGTCTGATTCATGAACAAATGACTCTTATGAGCTTGTTCGTTACAACTGAAAAGGTCCAAAATGTATAGGCACTGAATCATGACACTGAATCAAATTGAGCGAATCAGAATTGAACTAAATTGGAAAATATGCTAATACCTAATTTAATGTCTAACAAACATTATTACCTACAGCAATGAAATTCATTTAGTGTGACTTAAAGGAACACTCCACTATTTTTGAAAATAGGCTAATTTTCCAACTCCCCTAGAGTTACACAGTTGAGTTTTACAGTTTTTGAAGCCGATATGGCTAGAAACTATACTCTCATTCCGGCATAATAATCAAGGAACTTTGCTGCTGTACCATGGGTGCAGCAGGCGCAATGATATTACACAGCGCCTGAAAATAGTCACCAGCACTTGCTGTGCAAGCAGGTGGTCACGTTGGTTATGTTGACCGAAGTTAGCCTATTTTCAGGCGCTAACGGTCTAATCAGATTCAATGATCTATGCTAAGCTACAGCTAAAAGTGCTACCGCCAGACCCGGAGATCGGCTGAATGGATTCAAAAACCGTAAAACTCAACTGTGTAACTCTAGGGGAGTTGGAAAATGAGCCTATTTTCAAAAATAGTGGAGTGTTCCTTTAAGTGTCCTAAACACATTTTAGGTCCATATATAATATTTTGAATCTTCTACCTGCTAAGCTACCTTAGATTTCGACACAGGGTTGTTTAATATCTTTTAGTTTACTTTATTTTGGGCTTCTCCCTCTCTGCAGATGTGACAAACCCTGCAAAGATGGTACATACGGAGATGACTGTCAATTCCTGTGTAAAACCTGCCATCACGGCCACTGTGACCATGTGACAGGAAGTTGCATTTGTCTTCCTGGCTTCCAGGGTGAGAGGTGAGGGTGCAGTGGTATATATAGGTTGTTTTTAACTTGGTGTAAGTGTCAAATAAGTGTCCCTCACTGTTCAGTCTCCGTTGTAGCTGTAACAGCACATGTCCCCCTAACCTGTATGGCATCAACTGCTCCTCCACATGTGACTGTGGGAATCATTCCTGCCATCCAGCCACAGGGGCTTGTCCAAACAGTATGTCCAGACACTACATTTGGTTTTCACAGCTGGTATCCGCATCCCCCTCAATCGTTTTTTTTTTTTGTGGTGTCTGTCTGCTAGGTAGCAGGGCAGGTCTCTTAGCAGGGCTTTTGATTCCCTTGTGCATTATAATACTCGCCTTGCTGTTCTGCTGCTGCTGTTGTGGGCGGCCCGTTGAAGGGAAGGAAGGGTATGAATATGTTATTTGGAAGCTGATATATTATCAAATATATTATTTTGTTATCAATAAGCAAATCTTCTGCTAAATCTGTCCTCTAGAGTGGCGGTTGGAGATGGCAGCCCTGCGGTCCACATGAAGCATCATGTTTATACTGTGCTGGCCAACATGGGTTCAGCAATGCCGTGCATTAGTCTTTGGTCATCTGGTTTGCCTAGGGTTACAGGTAATGTGCCTATTTTCATTTGCAGCTTTTACGGAGAAACATAAGGAAGGGAGATTGTATTTTGGTGAACGCAAGTGGACTTTTAATGTTCTTCGCTGTGTCTTCAGTCTCTCATCATGACCCTGAGCTCACATTTAACCACAGCTTCATTGAGCAGCCATCGTCCGGCTGGGTGACTGATTCATTTGAAACTGATGATGAAGGAGAGGTCATCTACTGTGAACCACCCCGGGAAGGTACAAGAGTTATATTTCTAGTTTCACACTCTTTCTGTGCTGTTTTTACTCTGTAGTTATAGCAGCAGCTAGAGTTTTGCTTTGGCTGTTCTTTTTAGTTGTTATTTTGAGCTATGAGTGATATTTAAAAATATTTAATGCTATATTTTATTATATTAATAACAGTAAATGTTACAATGACTATATTCCTACAATTACTATATTCCTTTCAGTCTTAAAGTTAATGTAATCTGTACCATTCAACAGACTACCGTTCAAAGGTTTGGGGTCAGTAAGATGTTTTTGAAGATTTTCCGTGATGGTAAAGCTGAATTTTCTGAAATCATTATAATATGCTGATTTGGTGCTCAAGAAATATTTCTTATTACTAGCAACAGTTGTGCTGTTTAATATTTTTGTTGAAACCATGATGTTATATATTTTTTGTATTCTCTGAGAACAGCATTTATTTGAAACAGAAATCTTTTTTATTATTATAAATGTTTTTACTGTTACTTTTGATCAATTTAATGCATCCTTGCTGAATTTCTTTGCTGACCCCAGATTCCTAAATCCATAGATTAATTTTTTGGAATCCACCTCTGACTGTTCACACTAAAGTCATACTGCAAGAAAACGTAAAATGTATTATGATATTTGCTGTTCACATTGTCTAAAAACATATCTGTTTCACTGTAAGGGGGGAAAAAAAATCTGATTCGCACCATATTCAACAGCAATGTATTCCTGAATATACCGATTCATGTTAAATGTCTGATTCTCCTCACACAGATGTTCTAACTGTGGCCGGTGGAGAGCTCCAGGAGCTAAACTCTAAGTGTAACTTCTTCCCTGACCCATCAACATTCAGCAGTGAGGACATGTCACAAGATTTTGGTATCCCTCGTACCTCCAGCATTGCCAAATCCAAACGTCCTTCAGTCTCTTTTGCAGAGGGCACGAAGTTCAGTCCTAAAGAGCGCTGCAGCTCCACTCAAGATCTGCCAGGAACTAGTCGGAAACCCAAGGCCTGGGGTGTGCTGATGATCTCTGCCCTGCAAGGAGGACAGGGAAACCACAGAGAAACAGAAACTGAAAAAGAAGAGAAAAACAACGAGGAGACCATCTCCTCTGAGGAGCAAGCAGCTGCATCTGAAACATCACAAACTGACTCGGAAAGATATAATTCTGGCCCGCTAAGGACTCACCTCACTGTGCCCAGTGGGAGACGACGTACACTTTCCAGTACCAGGAAAAATGCCCAGCCATCTGATAGTGGCCAGGATGCAGATTCAGACAGGTTAACAACTGTATATGTGACTGTGGGTAAGACCCAAAAGATGGCCAAGCAAGAGCCCCCCTCAAAAGGGCCCGTTCAGGTGATGCTGCGCAGACTGGGTAGCTTACAGAGACAAAGAGAAGAGGCCGCCCAGCCCAAAGGAAGGGGGCAGGCAATCGCCAAGCCCCCGCGGAGGAAACTGGGAGCGCAGGCTAGTGCATGGGAGCAAGCTACTGGGTCAAACCAATCAGAGGTGGTCATGAGGAAACCTAGTCGCAGGAAATTCAACTCCCTCAGCTCTCCCTGCACAGTGGGGGCAACAGACTTTCCTCAGGAGAACAGCACCCCCAAGAGACCATTGTCCTCCATTTTAAAAAGTGTTCCAGAAAGCAATACACTCCATAGTTTGGAGGTGGAGCAAGACACTGAAGTAGTCTGTGAGACAGACAGTCTGACAGCGCACACGTATGAGACTGCGGCTCCATCTGATGGGGTCTCCACATCTTCAGAGGTTGTAATTAATGAGACAGTTGTGGACCAAGCAGAAGATGAGCCAAAATATGAGAATGTTTATGTAAAGATTTCATAATATTCCTGAATCTTAAAGTTAATGATTTAAAGGGCAATAAAAAAAGTTTTAAGTACTGTATGCAAGTTTTGCATAAACATATTTACATATACAATTTAGTTTGTTTGTATATTCCCTATTATAATTAATTTCTATTAAAACATTACTTCTTAGTTTAAAGAAATTAGCTTATTTTTAAATACACTTTTTAAAAGTATTTTATTAAGATGTTGCCCTCATAACCCCTTGAGTAACTGTATCTACCTATACTGACATTCAAAAGTTTGGGGTCAGTAGGATTTTTTTTTCTTTTTTAATTAATACTTTTATTCAACAAGGACTAATTTAAGCATAAGTAACAGTAAACTTTTACATTGCTAAAAAAATCTATTTTTTAAATAAATGCTGTTCTTTTGAACTTTCTTTTGATCAAGAATCCTGAAAAAATATATCAAGGTTTCCACAAAAATATTAAACAGTACAACTGTCTTCAACATTGATAGTGATAAGAAATATTTCTTGAGCAGCAATTCAGCATATTAGAATGATTTCTGAAGGATCATGTGACACTGAAGACTGAAGTAATAGCTGCTGAAAATTCAGCTTTGCATCACAGGCATAAATCACATTTTAAAATACATTCAATTAGAAAAAAAGGTTATTTTAAATTGTAATATTTCACTGTTTTTACTTTATTTTGATTAAATAAATGCAACCTTAGTGAGACTAAGAGACATCTTTTAAGAACATTAAACATTCGTAGTCTTAAATGTTACTACCTTTGAACAGTAGTGTAGATCAATCCTGAGCCAAGATATTAACCCTGCAGCAATTATGCATGAAATAACTTCCATAACAATTCGGAAAATAGAATTGTGTTGAAGTAACCTGACAGATACTTCCTGGTTCTACTCAAAGAGTCTTTTCTCTTAGGGCTGTATAATTTTCTGTGTAATTGCATGTCTTGGTTTTTGGCATCTTTTCTCTATGCACGGTAAATAAGGATTAGACTTTACATGCATCACTAAAGCGAAGTTGTTCTTGACAGCATGACACTGATTACTTGTAATATGGGGTGATGTAGATCAATTAAATTGCCTGATATTGGCAGTAAGCTCAGTGTTTTCTTTGGAAAGAGCAAGAAACCACAATAAATTGATGAACTGTGCCAAAACACTAAATGTAAATGGTATTGGCAGCAAAAATGACAAGAAACACCCTTTTACTGTGATGAAAAAGCTAAAACAGAAAGAGATTTGTTAATATCTTTCAAAGGTATAACCTAATAAAATTGTGTATGCATTACAAAAAAAAAAGAGTTTTACAACAAAAAACATTGCTGTTTATTCAAGGATTACAAAACCTCCACTAAAACTATTGCAAAGCTCATAGGAACTTTAGGCTTCTGTAAGCATCGGTACAAAATGTTATTTCTCTCATGTAATTGCTTGAATTCTCAATGAAAATCAGAGTATAATTCTCATATGATAATGATAATATTCATATGTCTGTTTATTTGAGATGTTTGAGACCAACAATTGCATGGTGTCCACTGAGCATAATTAATCAACACAACAGTTAGGAATATAGAGTAGATTCATCTCCAGGGTAGGACGACTTGTAGAACATTATGAATGTCATTCTATTTGTATTAAAATCGGTGGAGAGATTCTAAAAGGGCCTTCTGATGACCCTTCTCTTTGATCATACAAATACAGCTTATTTTTCTTGTATGATAAATACTATTAAATGTCTTTTACAGTTGGACTCATCTCTTTTCTGCTCCTGGCTTATCTTTGCAGCCAAGCCAGTATTTTCCAATAGGTCTTGGATATGGAGGGTTTGCATAGTCAACCCGTTTTGTTTGGAGATTCACTCTGTAGTACATATCTGTAAAGACAAAGGTTTACATCTGAATAATATAATATAATATAATCATGTCGATTTCAGTTCCTCCTTTGAATAATAACATTTCTGTCATGACAACTCCCGGAGGGTTTAGCATGGTAATACTCATGCAATGTTAATGTGTTTGGTCTTGGTGGAATAGATCTGCTGCTGCTGCAGCAGAGTAAGTACTGAGACTTGCTATTGCCAATACATTCACAGACATGCTGCTGTTAGCATGTAAGAAATACTGCTGCTGCACATATAACATACATGAAATCACCCCGTAGCAGATCTATACAGGTGGAGCTGGGGAAGGTGGAGGGTTCTGAAGCGTGCTGCAACTGGCACTAGCCGAGTATATGAATGTTGAGCAGCAAGCTCATTGGCTGCTGATAAGAAGTGAAACCAATCAGCTGTGCCATATGAATAATGATGTCATTATGTTAGAATGAGTTTGAACCTATCGGCCTGCACCATCTAGAGTTTCAAGACAGAACTTTGGAAATAATATTAAATAATCATGTCGATTTTTAGTTCCTCCTTTGAAAAATATAATCATAATATAATATAATATTATAATATAATAATCAAGGGTGCACATAAGCGGTCCGCAGGTCCGCATGCGCGACCAAAATAAGAAATGCACTGTGTAAATTAGTTCAGAGCGCGCGTTTGCGTACCGACATGGATGACAGCTGTTAATGCACAATTACCATTTTAGATCGACAAACTGTACTGTATACGATTTCTATTCAAACTGAAAGCATAAATCCAGGCTACCCGCTAACGTTTTCAAAGCACAATGCAAAACTGTGACATTTCATTCAGTTGACGCTCTACAATCGGCAGCGCTAAATCCGGAAGCGCATATACTTACTTGCCGTCAACCTGCCAAAATAAAAGCTTGCTGTTTTTATGTTTGAAAATGAAAAATGAAAATAATTAAAATTAAAATAATAATAATAAAAATATTAGGATTTTAGATGCCAGTCCAGTCTTTGTTGATGAAGTGATGGCCACTGTGATGACTTTGAGCTGGAAGAAAGTAATTAAAAGCCGAGTTATGGAAGCAGTCTCAGGTTCATAGTAGGGGTGGGAATCTCTAAGCACCTCACGATTCGATTTGACTACAATTCAGGGGGCTGCGATATGATGATAAAACTATTATCGATGCATTTTGATGCACCTTTTTCTTCTAAACATTTATTTTTCCTCACTATGTGACTACCTGGTACTTTCAAAGCAAAGTATTTGCAAAGATTACAAATCAAATGATATCCACAGGAGATTTGATGCCAGTCCAGTCTTTGTTGATGAAGTGATGGCCACTGTGATGACTTTGAGCTGGAAGAAAGTAATTAAAAGCTGAGTTATGGAAGCAGTCTCAGGTTCATAGTAGGGGTGGGAATCTCTAAGCACCTCACGATTCGATTTGACTACAATTCAGGGGGCTGCGATATGATGATAAAACTATTATCGATGCATTTTGATGCACCTTTTTCTTCTATACATTTATTTTTCCCCACTATGTGACTACCTGGTACTTTCAAAGCAAAGTATTTGCAAAGATTACAAATCAAATGATCAATTTTATATCAAATTTGTTTGTGCATTTTTATTAAATTATATAAGCATTTATACTTTTTAGCCTGCTTCATAGTACCCCTAGTTCCTGCACCCCTAGTTCATAGTATTGATAGCTTCCTCTGAAAAAGTATTACCTCCACCAAAGAGCTGGTTGAAGTGCTCAACCCATCGGTCGTAGTAAATATTAGTGTATCTGCGGAAGAGTGCTGAGGGAGATCTAAATGACATCTGAATGCACTCCTCATGGGATGGCTGGTGCTTGAACTCATACTGGTAATACTGGTCTCCTAAACAGAAGGAACGTATGGTTTGTTTAGTAAAGTTAAATGAACATGAAAGTAAATCTAGATCTATTTTTTAGGTTAAGTACAAACCTTTAAAAAAATAAACCTTCTCTTTGCCATGATGGCTGTGAGCAGGAATGGCAAAGGCAGCATCCAGATGGTCTGGTATCTTCTCAAATCCCACAGATATTTCTCGTGGGAAATCTTCGTCTAGTACCCCATCTTCAAGCCTCCAGTATTTTTTACCCTGGGAATAATATAATACATTTTTTCATTTACAATCATTCAGTGAAACAGATTAAATTATTCGGATTAACTCTGATTAAATAAATGTAATAAATTAAAATAAATTGTGACTATTTATTATATTAACAATATAATTTATTATATAAACAACTCACACTGTATAAACTAAGTGCTAGAAATTGTAAATGGTTTAAATTACAGATATAAATGTGAGGTCATCCATACTTTGAAGATGTACGTCTTTCCTTGGCAGTTTATGCGAGTGAAAGCAGCATCTATTGGACCTTTTATTCCCCAGATGTCTTCGATGAGCTTTGGGTACCCCGGTAATACAGATTTCTCATCAAGCTCAAAAAAATATTGTCCTGTAGCCAAACATATTACATTTTTAATCAGAGTAAATAAATATAATAAGAAGACTGCTACTTAACCATTTTGTATTATGTTTAAAAAATATTCTACTTATACTAAATATATTGTATGTACATTTTTATATTACTGTCAAACATGAGCCTAAATGAAGTATAAAATAATTTTGTATAATATTCACATATTTGTTTTTCTTTGCTGTAAGCCACTTACCTCTGAATGCGTATATAGAGCCGTTTTTGAGCTGCATGAAGGAGTCAAAGGGTCTGCCACTGCAGACCTCAGCATCAGGGTCTTTGGCTTTTGTTGGTGTGGGTTCAGCATTTGAAGTTGTGCGTGGCGTTGTGGTTGGGTTCCTAATGGAGGAGGCTAATCTGAAATGTGTAGTTGGATTGGCAGCAGTGACAATCTCTGGTGTTGGGTTGTCATTTAACGTTGAATCCAAGACTTGTGAAGCTGGTGTTAATAGGCTGAATATTTCAGCAAAGGTTGCTGTAGACGGGGTCAAACTTTTGTGCTGTGATCTGGATCTGATTGGCACCTCTGTGCTGTTTGCTTCCTCATAATCATCCTCAGGGTAAGAAGGAAAGGTGTCTCCACGAGCTGCAACAAGAACAGTTTCTCATCCACTTGTTTTGATCACTGCATTTCACATATTTTGTTTAAATGGAGATGAAGAAACCAAACTGGTAAACGTACTCCTAATACGACACAAGGATTCATAGTCTTTGCAACAGCTCTTGTAGTATGTGCACATTGAGTCACACTGGCAGCTCTTGGTGGCATCAAACCCATTTTCACAGCGTTCAATACACGACTCTGACAGGAAAAAGAGCGCAGTTCCAAGATAACATGTATATCAAAATATTATAAGAAAGTACGTGTTCTTACCTTCAGCAGCATATGTGAAGGAAATCAGTCCTAGCAACAGAAAAAGCCTCATGCTGGCGTCTCACAGTGAATGTGACTGAAGAGCTGAGACCATCAGGACTACAGGAATCAATAGACTCAGAGGTCGATCACCCGCTTTTGTTTAAACTTATATTGCAAAACTTATCTGCAATATGTTTTCGTCTTTGTTTAACTGTAGTCATCAAAACCAGACAGGAATTGTTTTGCAATCCGATAATAAAAATATGAAAAGTTTGTTTTATGAGCACTATACTTTATGTAACAGTTTTATTTAAGTTGATTATGCAAAATGACTTTGAATTTGTGGGCTACGCTACTTTTGAGAGTGTAAAAGGTATAGAAAGAAATAATGCTTGTTTACAACTTTCAAAATGTAAGATTTAGACTGTTTAACAAAGTCCACCATGATGTCCTTTACTAATGTGGGAGTGCGTTGCTTAAACTTGGGAACAAATAACCCTTTTGACCTCTGAAATGTGAATGATTAATAGATCTATAAACACCATCACCTTACATAACTGCTTACAAACATTCGTCGTACATGAATAACTTAGCCAAGTCAAGTTATGAGTTTAGCGTTCTTATCTGCATGGTAAAATAACACTGACTGGAGGAATAAAGTTAAATAAGGGCATGTTTCAGTAATTGCCTGCGTTGCCATATAAATCGGCGAATAATAATACAGCCGTCGTCTTCTCTCCAGTGAAAAGTTTTTCACAGCAAAACCCACCCAATCGCTCCTCAAAACTAGCCCAGTCGCGTTTCTTCTTCTTCTTGAAATTTTATTGGCGGTTGACAAACAACAAAATGGTGTATTTCCGCCACCAACTGGAATGGAGTGTGGATCAAAAATGGACTTCCTTCCCTCCAGTCGCGTTTCGAGGGGGTCCCCCGTTAAAAATCGCGTTCCGGGGATAAAATACACGCGTTTTGGCGGGGTTCCCATGGTAAAATTCGCATTCCATGGGCTAAAAACAACATGAAAAACAACCCGCGGCAACAGTGTTAAAGTAGCCCAATTCCGCGGGTAAACCGCAACATTAGCAACATTGCTGCGGCCGTACAAACTTCATGAATATTTAATGAGGTTATCAGTGAGGCACTTTATGATTGGTTGTCTGTAGCTAAACAACTCGACGTAACAAGTTCCCGAGCAAGGTTTCATAACCCAGGGTTAAACGCTGCAACTTTGACATCTCTAAAATACCTTTAAATCTATCTTGTTTTCATAAACAGGCTTTAATAAGTTGGTCACTTATACATAATTATAATTTTTCACCACATAGCTACTTTATTTGGAATAATACAAATATTAGACATAAAAATAAATCTCTTTTTTTCACAATTGGTTTGATAATAATATACTTTTAGTCAGTCGACTTTTAGATGATCGTGGTGTCCTTTTTACTTATGAACAATTTATGCAAGAATTTTCTTTTTCCCATCCCCCCAAGAGAATATGCCATTGTGTTTGGTGCAATTCCCAATTGTATGATACCTTTAGTAAAATCTGGCCCTAAAGGTTCGTTCGACTCTCCTCTTTTTGATAACACTAACTTATTTGTTGACCAAAGTCTTCTCAATACCATGTCAAACAAAAAGACATTCGTTCAATTATTAATAGATCTAAGATTTCTTTACCTGCTTGTGTGAGTTTTTGGAATAACATATTTAGTGATATAGAATGGGAAGAGTTTTGGCTTCTTCGACAACAATTCTTCTTATCTAATAAAGTTGATGAAGTCTCTATCAAAATTATCCATAATTGTTATCCGGTAAATTACAAACTTGCTAAATTTAACAGTAGTATTTCCCCCAATTGCTCCTTTTGCCTTCAGTCTGAAGAAACAATCAATCATTTGTTTTGGGACTGTGCTTATTCTAAAGTGTTCTGGGTTGACTTTTCCAATTTTGTTAACAAATATTTATATCCAAACTTTTGTATAACCCCCAAAAATGTGTTTTTTGGTTACTCTTTGAAGTTAGACCCTTCTCACTGTAAATTTATTATTAACCTATTGCTATATCTTGCTAAATTTTACATTCATAAGTGTAAATTTTCAAAGAAAACGCCCTACTTTTTTATTTTCAGGAAAGATTTTGATGTGTATGTAAACTCTTTAAGAAACTCTAATAATTCTATTGCATGTAAGACTCTTTCATGGTGTAAGTCTTATAAACTAACATAGTATGCTTTGGAGTATTGTTTGTAACACTTATTGTCTTTTGGGTAACACTTTATTTTGATGGTCCCTTTTGAACATTCTGTTGACAATAATTAATGTTGCACCTACATGTCTACTAACTCTCATTAAAGTATTAGTAGACTGTCTGCTTAATATCAGCTAGCTCTTTATTGTGATGGATCCCCACAGAGTTTCTACTGACTACAAGTAACTTTGCAAGTACATGTCAACTTATTCTAGCTCTAACCCTACCAGTCTACTAATACTCTACTAACACTCTAATGAGAGTTAGTAAATATGAAGGTGCAATGTTACTTATAGTCAGCAGAATGTGTTAAATCTACCATCAAAATAAAGTGAAACCGTCTTTTGTTCTTACTTGTCTTTGTAATTGTATTTGCTGTTCTTCTATTGCATAATAAAAAAAAAACCAGGGTTAAAAGCTGTGCCTACCCCCTTTCAAAATTGCGTGTGAAACGTTGCTAAAATTATTAAAATGGCCTTTATCTGTGGTTTGAAAAAGACTGCGAAAGGCTAAGTGCAAATCTCTTCAGTTAAATAGCATCCGAACACTGCAAGAAGCTTACAGATTTTTCTGTCAATTTAATTTAAAGAGATTTAGGCAGAAATACGAAAAACATGTTACAAAAAAGCTAAAGTCGCATACAGTCTTTGTCCACCAGGGGGCGTTGAGCTGAAGTGGCACTATGATGCTGAGGATGCTTCTCCGCTTCCAGCTTGTGAGCTACACCACAGGGCGGGTCTATAAACGGACGCTGAGGATGCTTGAGGATTCATTATCAACAATCTTAACTTTGTTTCAAATATAACGGTTTTATTTTATGAATAAGTATCGCCTCAGTTGGCTTTGACAGGAATCTATCCGAGGGTGGTAAAAGGACAGTGCATGGAAATAGTCGTCTTTTTTTCTGACAAACCCAATCGTTTGCCGGGTTACAGCGATACAAACCGGCTTTCTAGTTTTCTTAAAACATCAGGCCATTCTGACAGCTTTATTTTATTATTTGATGGTTTTTAAACAACCTTGTGGGCCCTTTCTAACAGTGGATACTTTAAGCGTATCTTAAAGGCTTTGCCAGTGCTCTGACATCATTTGTGTTTATTGTTTTTTTCTGACATCAGCAGGATAATGTGGTTTGGTGTAAACGGTCGCTGTTAATGAATGAAACTGTTTCCCACGCAATAGACATTAATGATTTGTTTGGTAATGACGGCGACGCGGTAATTTATTTTGTCACAGCGGAAAGACAAAGAAACATCATAAGTGTTGTTACGGCCGAGGAACGGCTGGTAACGTTAGATGTTTTTGTCTCTTGTCGTGTATCTCAGCAAGATTTGCCGTTATTTCTCCATGTTTAGCACCGACAGACTCACGGTTCCTGAATATGTCAGTAATCGGCTACACAACCGGAGGACGGGCTCTGGCCCCAGGGCTGTGTCTCCGGGGATCAGCGCCGACGTTCGGGCCGTGTTGGACGGCTCTCTCCCCGCGCTGCGCTCCGCCATCAAAACACTCAAGTCTTCGAAAGACACTGGAGATGTGGAGGAGACCCGCCGGGCCATCGCTGAGACTTTCCAACTGGTTGAGGAGGCCTGGGTCCTGCCCACAGTGGGCCGACGGGTAGCAGAGGAGATGTGCAACAGGATCCGGCTGGATGGGGGTCTGGAACTGCTCTTGCAGCTGCTGCAGACACCTGCTGCAGGAATCACATATGAGTCTGCCAAGCTCCTTGAGCAAATATTGGTCTCAGAAAACAGGTAAGGAACATTCTTGATAAAGTGCTCATTTATTAGGCCCGAAAAAGTATTTGGACAAGCAAGTCACAGTTAAATGTGAATGAGTGTCATTGTATCAAACAAAGTGGCAGTTGGTTATTCAAAAGAAAGATAGCACAAGCATTTTACATGCATACAGTTTGTTTGGTTTAAAATGATAATAAATAACATACTGTTCAAAAATATTTCCCCCCTTTTTTGTATAACAATATACACGTTTTCGTATGGAATAGTATGCAGAAAATAATCATACTGCCTGAAAGATATACTGTACCTAAAATAACTGTCCTGGGATATCATAATCTTTCTGCTGCATGTAAATCATTTGCACATTCACACAGTCAATATGGGAAGCCGGAAGCGGAGAGAGATTGATGAACATGAATTTAGGATGAAGCTACGACTTTTTCTTCTCTGTAAATATGTTCAGTTCTAATAAACTTTAATTGTTTTGTTTGCTGCCTTTCACATGTTTTGTTTAAATGGAGTTGAAAAAACCAAACTGGTAAACGTACTCCTAATATGACACAAGGAGTCATAGTCTTTGCAACAGCTCTTGTAGTATGTGCACATAGAGTCACACTGGCAGCTCTTGGTGGCATCAAACCCATTTTCAAGAATTAATTCAAGAAAATCAGTATTAAACATAGCCCTGCAATTCGGTGTTAGCTTTTTACAGATTTTATTGTTGCTTATAGCAGTACATTTGCTTTACTAAAACTGTCAATTGTTCCATTTTCATTTGCAATATTAATATTGTTATAGTCAGGGCTGAATTTTGAATCCCAATCCATCCTGCATTTGTCCTAAAAGGAATAGAAAGACAAAAAAATAAAAATAAATAAAGAGAAAGAGACCAAAAACAGCGGGACAAAAACACGAGATTAAACAGGAGAGTAAAGTCTGACAGGGTAATATATATATTCACTGTAGTTATGCCACAGCTGCAGGGGGGTGTATAAATCTGCCCTAAAGCCACTTAATAAATCCACTAAAAATCATATTGGGCCTAAGTGTCTTGTGTTGTGTGATTTATTTGCAGGTGCCACTTGGTTTGATATTATGTAATCATTTATCTAATATTAGTATATAGTATATTGGGGCAGTTGTGGCCTAATGGTTAGAGAATCGGACTTGTAATCAA